GACAAGAATCAATCAGGGCCAGCTAACACGTTCAGATAAATGATCCCTTCCCGGCAGCAATCAGCTAGGCTTTGAAGCTGTAAGGCCATTCAGTGGTAATCAAGCTGGCCAATTGCAACATTCACAGACAAGAGTTCTTCTCCCACCCAGGGCATTCTACAGATGAGGAAACCTCACTTGCCTAGTTTCCAACAGATCCCTCAACCTCTGAGGATGCCTGCTATAGATGTGGGTGAAACATCAGGAGAGAATGCTTCTGAAAAATGGCCAGACAGCCTGGAAAACTCACAGCGATCTAGTGATTCCAGCCATGAAAGCTTTCAACAACATATTGAATTCTTGTCTGTTTGAGTTAAGTGTGAATGTTGCAATCGACCACCTTGATTAGCATTGAATAGCTTTGCAGCTTCAAAGCCTGGCTGCTTCCTGCCTGGAGGAATCCTTTGTTGGGAGGTGTTAGCTGATTGATTCTTGTTTGGAATTCCTCTGCTTTTTTGAGTGTTGCTCTTTCTTTGCTGTCCTGATTTTAGAGTGGTTGCCAGATTTTGTTCATTTTCATGGTTTCCTCCTTTCTGTTCAAATTGTCCACATACTTGTGGATTTCAATGGCTTCTCTATGTAGCCAGACATGGTACTTGTTAGAGAAGTCCAGCATTTCTGTGCTCTTCAATAATATGCTGTGTCCGGGTTGGTTCATCAGGTGCTCTGCTATGATTAGCTTTTAATGGCCTTGCAGCTTCAAAGTCTGGCTGCTTCCTGCCAGAGGGGATCCTTTGTTGGGAGGTGTTAGCTGGCCCTGATTGTTTCTTGTCAGGAATTCCCGTTTTTTGAAAACTCTAAAATCAGGACAATAAATAAAGAGGAACACTCAAAACACAGGGGAATTTGATTCCTGGGAGGAAACAATCAGGGCCAGCTAATACCTGTCGACAAAGGATCCCCCCAGGCAGGAAGCAGCCAGAATTTGAAGTTGCAAGACTATTCCAGATTAAGCAGCTGAGGGGGGGGGGGAGGAAGGGGCCTGAGACTATTAGAAATGGTGGGAGTTGAAGTCCAAAACACCTGGAGGGCCTAAGTTTGCCCATGCCTGATTTGGTCCTATGTGAAATGATTAGCAATATGACACTACTAATGCAATGGTGTACCGAATATGTCTATTATGCAGTTTTGGTTTTTTTTAGGCGATCCCTCGTTCTCCGAGAATGATGGTCCTCCAAGGTCGGTGTTCTGGCGGTGGGTCCATAGGTGACTGTGGAGCCCTATACTTGACCTGCATCTTCTCCCACAGTGAGGGCATTGGTTTTCAGGTGGAAGGCGGTCTCCGGGGTTGGCTTCCTTCCTCTTGGCACGTTTCTCTCTTTCACCCTCCATTCGTGCCTCTTCAAATTCTGAAGCACTGCTGGTCACAGCTGACCTCCAGCTGGAGCGCTCAAGGGCCAGGGCTTCCCAGTTCTCAGTGTCTATGCCAGAGTTTTTAAGGTTGGCTTTGAGCCCATCTTTAAATCTCTTTTTCCTGCCCACCAACATTCTGTTTTCCGTTCTTGAGTTCGGACTAGAGCAACTGCTTTGGGAGACGGTGGTCGGGCATCTGGACAATGTGGCCGGTCCAGCGGAGTTGATGGCGGAGGACCATCACTTCAATGCTGGTGGTCTTTGCTTTTTCATGGTTTCTTGGTCCATAGATGACCTTTGTGGCTTTGAAAAATCCCTGAGCATCATGGGTATCTGCCAGGTGTTGGATTTCTTCAGCCTTCTCTGTCCACCAGATGTTCTTGAGTTCTCTTGTCCTTCTTTGGACCTCAGCTTTTGTGCTGGCGTAGATCTTTTTCTTAGCAGCACAGTTGATGTCTCTCTGCCATCTTTGGAAGGCTTTCCTTTTCTTGTCAATTAGCTGTTGCATCTTGTCATTTTCGTCAAACCAATCATGATGTTTCTTAGTTTGATATCCAATAGTTTCTTTGCAGGCTGTGATGATGGAGGTCTTCAGTTTGTTTTAGTGTTCCTCACCATTTTTGGGGTGTTCTGTGGGTAGATGTTCCTTGAGTGCTGTTTGGAGAAGAGGTCGTCTGTAGGGCTCCTGGAGGGCTTGGGTGTTCATTTTGTGCCTTGTCTTTCTTCCTTGGAGTCTGCGCTTGGGGGCGATCTTGATATTATGCAGTAGCCAAGGGAGGCAACTGTATGTGTAAAACGTAGGCCATCAGCAGTGTTTGGTGACTGGTATTCAGTCAAACAGGATTGTGGCAAATGGTTTTTGGGTGCTTCTGTATAGGAAGCTGCTGTTTGGACCTTAGAGACCATGGTATACACCAGATATCATCCAAACTGGACAGAGCAAATCCTATAAGTTGGGTTTTGGACCACAGTTCCCAGAATTTCTCCATGATCTCGACTCTCATTTGGTCCTTTGCAGTGGCAGATGGTGCTGCAAGGCTGGCGGCTTCACCCGAGGCACAGCTCCAAGGGCGCTGGAGTGGAACCAGCAACACCTGGACTGGGTTCCTGTTGCTGCCTGACCCGAGCAGCTGCACTTTTTCCAGGGTTGTGGCAAGGATAAGACAGCAGCTGCACTCCAGAATCCTTTCAGCATGCAGAAACACCCACCTGCAGAGATGAAGACCCCCCTCCCCTACGGAACAGCAACATTGTGCAACACAGGCCAGCGACTGGGTGCTTTTCACAATGTGCAGTGTGCAATGGTGCAATACTTCATTGCAACACACAATGCACACTTGCAACTTCAAATGTTGCTGTTTTTGCTGCTGTTATCAAAATACACTGTGCCAAACAATTTGAGCCATATACATAGAATGATTCATGCATGCACATGTCAGAAGCAGGATGCGAGTCATTATCCAATAATTCTGGGTAGCTTATTTCTCTAAAAACATCTTTCCTTTTCAGCCTCCGCACTTGCTTTTGTTCCTTCTGCATCCACTGCTGTTGTAGGGATTTTGGTGCAGAATTCTGGGCTTAGTTTAGTACCCAAAATCAGACACCATTAAATGCCTGATAAATCCTCTGGCAGCCCACTTTTTAAAGTTTATCTCATCCCCTCCCACTTTCCTCCTCAATTACTCAGTTGCTGCAAACTGAGTCCCAATGAAAAAGCAAACACACTCAATAAAGCCAGTATAGATTACTGCAATGTGCTCTACATGGGGTTGCCCTTGAAGACTGTTCAGAAACTCCAATTGGTCCAACAGGCAGCAAGGTTGCTCACTGGAGCGACATACAGGGAGCACACCACCCCCCTGTTATGTCAGCTCCACTGGCTGCCGAGTTCAGTTCCGAGCACAATTCAAAGTGCTGGTTTTGACCTACAAAACCCTGTAGGTTCCGACCCCCTATCTTCCAAAAAAAAAAAAAAAAAATAGACAAATGCTTCGACCCTTAATGCAGTTCCTCGTGTTGTGGTGACCCCCAACCATAAAATTATTTTTATTACTACTTCATAACTGTAATTTTGCTACTGTTATGAATCGTCATGTAAATATCTGATATGCAGGATGTATTTTCATTCACTGGACCAAATTTGGCACAAATACCCGATACGCCCACATTTGAATACTGGTGGGGGGGGGGAGGGGGATTGATTTTGCCATTTGGGAGTTGTAGTTGCTAGTATTTATAGTCGACCTACAATCAAAGAGCATTCTGAACTTGAACCACATGACGTTGGAGGTGTCTATTCCTATGGACAGTTACCTCACAGTCGGACCTGATTAGACTTAATGTCAAGGGAAACCTTTACCTTAAGACTAGGGCTATGTTGGGTTGGATTATGCCTTCCTGCAGAGCTGAAAGGGGATAGATTGGGTGGCCCTTGGGGTCTGTTCCTATGTATTTATGTGTCAGTATATTTGTTGTCCAGAAGGATCTGAATGTGGTTAAGATAGCAAAGATGATGAGTGAGGGAAAAGAGGTGAGTTAGGAGAATAATAGAATCCTAGAGTTGGAAGAGAACTGGTGGGCCATCCCATCCAACCCCATTCTGCCAAGAAGCAGGAATATTGCATTCAAAGCACCCCTGACAGATGGCCATCCAGCCTCTGTTTAAAAGCCTCCAAAGAAGGAGCCTCCACCACACTCCAGAGCAGAGAGTTCCACTGCTGAACAGCTCTCACAGTTAGGAAGTTCTTCCTCATTTTCAGGTGGAATCTCCTTTCTTTTCTGTAGTTTGAAGTCATTCTTCCACTGAGTCCTAGTCTCCAGGGCAGCAGAAAACAAGCTTGCTCCCTCCTCCCTATGACTTCCCCTCACATATTTATACATGGCTATCATGTCTCCTCTCAGCCTTCTCTTCTGCAGGCTAAACATGCCCAACTCTTTAAGCCACTCCTCATAGGGCTTGTTCTCCAGACCCTGGATCCTTTGAGTCGCCCTCCTCTGGACACATTCCCACCAAAGTGTTTTCTGTTGGTCATGGGAGTTCTGTGTGCCAAGTTTGGTTTAATTCCATCATTGGTGGAGTTCAGAATGCTCTTTGATTGTAGGTGAACTATGAATTCCAGCAACTACAACTCCCAAATGACAGAATCAACCTCCCCCAACCCCATCAGAATTCAAGAGTGGGTGTATCAGGTATTTGTGCCAAATTTGGTCCAGTGAATGAATATACATCCTGTATATTGGATATTTACATTATGATTCAGGCCGGCAGCAAAATTAGAGTTATGAAGTAGCAATGAAAATAATTTTATAGTTGGGAGTCACCACAACATGACGAACTGTATGAAGGGGTTACAGCATTAGGAAGGTTGAGAAACACTGGTCTAAATATTAGACTTCTATTGGTTCCGCCTACAATCACATTGGGGTTTTTTTTAGCTGCCACATCAAATTGTTGAATCTTGTTCAGTTTGTGGTCTACTAAGAGTCCTAAATCCCTCTCACATGGACTGTTTCCACCTAGCCTGTATCTGTGCATTTCATTTTTATTGCCTAAGTATACTGCCATGCATTTCTCCCTGTTGAAATGCATTTTGTTACTTTTGGCCCTCTCCTCTATTTTTCCATCTGTAGAAACATTCAAAATGTGTGAGCCTTTTGTCCGTCAAAGCCGCCTCTTCCATCACCACGGAGAGCCAAATCCTTCCTGCGAAGTGGCATCGCCAGCTTCTTACACTTTGGGCCTCAATTAACAGGGTAATTGGATTGTGCAAATCCTGAGCCTGTGCACGTTCGAGAGAGAGAGAAAGTGACGCCGGTTGGTCTCAGCTGCCCGGCTAAGCTGAAGATGCTCGGTGGGTAAATATAGTCCTTCTGTGTGACTCAGCCAGGAGTGGAGGGAAGGCAACCCGCTCTCATGGATCAGAAGCAGGAAAGAAGCAGACTCATTTCCGACGGTGACGCAGACGGAGCCACTGCTCCGGCGCTGCACTTGCCGTCCGTCCGCACTGGACCGCCACCGGTCTCCGGCTGCCGTCGCAACAGGTGAGCTGTTGCTCGTCTCTGCCATGCAATGTTTCCAAGCATCTTGGCACCTTCATGCGTCTTCCAGAAGAGCCTTTGATACCTCACCTCCAAGGCATTAAGGCAGCTTCCATCCTTGGCCACCTGCTTTGGATTCCTCCTCGTGGGCCAAAGAGCAGGAGAGAGATGCACTAGGATTCGAGTGGTGCTCAAGAAACAGGTAAGGAAGAATGGTGGAGCCAAAGACAACCGAGAGCATCTCTTGGGTGTCACTCATGATATCCGACATCAAGGGACAATGGGGTTGTGGCATTTAGTGCAGTGGTTCTCAACCTAATGCCGCAACCCCTTAATACAGTTCCTCATGTTGTGTTGACCCGCAACCATAACATTATTTTTGTTGCTACTTCATAACTGTAATTTTGCTCCTGTTGTGAATCGTAATGTAAATATCTGAAATGCAGGATAGATTTTCATTCACAAAATTTAGCACAAACACCCAATATGCCCAAATTAGAATACTGGTGGGGTTGGAGTTGGGGATTAATTTTGTCATTTGGGAGTTGTAGTTGTTATAGTGGGTTGTAGGTTTTTTCGGGCTATATGGCCATGGTCTAGAGCAGTGGTTCTCAACCTGTGGGTTCCCCAGATGTTTTGGCTTCAATTCCCAGAAAATCCTAACAGCTGTTAAACTGGCTGGGATTTCTGGGAGTTGTAGGCCAAAAACATCTGGGGACCCACAGGTTGAGAGCCATGGTCTAGAGGCATTCTCTCCTGACGTTTCGCCTGCATCTATGGCAAGCATCCTCAGAGGTAGTGAGGTCTGTTGGAAGTAGGAAAAAGGGTTTATATATCTGTGGAATGACCAGGGTGAGACAAAGGGCTCTTGTCTGCTGGAGCTAGGTGTGAATGTTTCAACTGACCACCTTAATTAGCATTTTGAACTCCACCAACAATGGAATTGAACCAAACTTGGCACACAGGACTCCCATGACCAACAAAAAATACTGGAAGGTTTGGTGGGCATTGACTTTGAGTTTTGGAGTTGTAGTTCACCTACATCCAGAGACCACTCAGGACTCAAACAATGATGTATCTGGACCAAACTTGGCACAGATACTCAACATGCCCAAATGCAAACACTAGTGGAGTTTGGGGAAAATAGACCTTGACATTTGGGAGTTGTAGTTGCTAGGATTTACAGTTCATTTACAATTCTGAACTCCACCAACAATGGGATTGAACCAGATTTGGCACACAGAACACCCATGAGCAAGAGAAAATACTGGAAGGGTTTGGTGGGCATTGACCTTGAGTTTTTGAGTTGTACTTCACCTACATCCAGAGAGCACTCAGGACTCACACCATGATGGATCTGGACCAAACTTGGCACGAATTCTCAGTATGCCCAAATGTAAACACTAGTAGAGTTTGGGGAAATAGACCTTGACATTTGGGAGTTGTAGTTGCTGGGATTTATAGTTCACCTACAATCAAAGAGCATTCTGAACTCCACCAACAATGGAATTGAACCAAACTTGGCACACAGAACTCCCATGACCAACAGAAAATACTGGAAGGGTTTGGTGGGCATTGACCTTGAATTTTGGAATTGTAGTTCACCTACATCCAGAGAGCACTGTGGACTCAAACAATGATGGATCTGGACCAAACTTGGCACGAATACTCAATATGCCCAATGAACACTGGTGGAGTTAGGGGAAAATAGACCTTGACATTTGGGAGTTGTAGTTGTAGTTCACTTACAATCAAAGAGCATTCTGAACTCCACCAACAATGGAATTGAACCAAACTTGGCACACAGAACTCCCATGACCAACAGAAAATACAGGAAGGGTTTTTGGTCACTGACCTTGAGTTTAGGAGTTGTAGTTCACCTACATGCAAAGAACACTCTGAACTCAAACAATGATAGATCTGGACCAAACTTGGCATGAATCCTCAATATGCCCAAATGTGAACACTGGTGGAGTTTGACGTTTGGGAGTTGTAGTTGCTGGGATTTATAGTTCCCCTACAATCAAAGAGCATTCTGAACCCCACCAATGATAGAATTGCCAAGCTTCCCACCCAGAACCCCCATGTAACAAAAAATACTGGTTTTTGGGCGACCCCTCTTACACCCAGAGAAAAAAACCACTTTTGGCGCCGTCTTTCCTTCAACTATTCCCTCTGCCTTCTCTAGGTCTCAACCCCCATGTTGAGAAATGCTGATTCTCTTCTGTATACCGCAGTGGATGTGATGATCTCTACAGGGAGATGCAATTAGACAATAGCCTGGACCTCCTTTAGTAGGCAGTGGTTCTCAGCCTGTGGGTCCCCAGATGTTTTGGCCTTCAACTCCCAGAAATCCTAACAGCTAGTAAGCTGGCTGGGATTTCTGGGAGTTGTAGGCCAAAACACCTGGAGATCCACAAGTTGAGAACCACTGGTTTAGGGTAACTAGCTAATTCCTCATCAAGGTTGATTTTGTAAAACCTGATCCTTTGCCAAGCTCTCTGCAAAACACCTGGAGAGCCAAAGTTTGCTCGTGCCCACGATGTAAGGATAAAACAATCCATCTTCCTCTCTCCTGTGTGACTCAGTGAGAGTATCTGCCTGCGTTGTATGTGACTATCTGATGACTCTGATTGTTTGCATGTATAAGGAATGAGGATCTGTGAATCCTTAAGTGTCTGAGGGGGAAAAGGGCCCGAGGCTGTTAGAAATAGTAGGAGTTTATTTATTATTTACTTTATTTATATGCCGCTTTTCTCAGCCCTCAGGCGACTCAAAGCAGTGAACAACATCAATACAAAACATCACGAGACAAGTATAGGGCAATTAAAAACAATTGTAACATAAATCATTAAACATCCGTATAACAATCATTAGCGCCTCAACAGTAAAATCAGAATCCAGTCTCATCATCCATTATTCCGTATTCCTATGTTCAATTACACTGTTTAATCAAATGCTTGTTCGAACAGCCAGGTCTTCACTTTCCTCCGAAACACCAGCAGGGAGGGGGCCGATCTGATATCTGCAGGCAGGGCGTTCCACAGCCGAGGGGCCACCACTGAGAAGGCCCTGTCTCTCGTCCCCGCCAGGCGTGCCTGTGATGCAGGTGGGACCGAGAGCAGGGCCTCCCCAGATGATCTTAGTGTCCTAGCGGTTCATAGGAGGAGATGCGTTTGGAGAGGTAAGTAGGGCCAGAACTGTTTAGGGCTTTATAGGCTAAAGCCAGCACTTTGAATTGTGCCCGGTAGCAAACTGGCAGCTAGTGGAGCTGGCGCAACAGAGGAGTTGTATGTGAGTGCTTCTCCTGTTAGCAACCTGGCTGCTGCCTGCTGGACCATTTGAAGCTTCCGAACAGTCTTCAAAGGCAACCCCACGTAGAGAGCGTTGCAGTAGTCTAAACGGGATGTAACCAGAGCGTGGACTACCGTGGCCAAGTCAGACTTCCCAAGGTACGGGCGCAGTTGGCGCACAAGTTTTAACTGTGCAAATGCTCCCCTGGTCACCGAAACCTGGGGTTCCAGGCTCAGCGATGAGTCCAGGATCACACCCAAGCTGCGAACCTGTGTCTTCAGGGGGAGTGCGACCCCATCCAACACAGGCTGTAACCCTATACCCTGTTCGGCCTTGCGACTGACCAGGAGTACCTCTGTCTTGTCTGGATTCAATTTCAATTTGTTCGCCCTCATCCAGACCGTTACAGTGGCCAGCACCGGTTCAGGACCTCGACAGCCTCCTTAGTAGCAGGTGGAAAGGAGTGACAGAGTTGGACATCATCCGCGTACAGATGACACCGTACCCCGAAACTCTGGATGATCTCCCCCAGCGGCTTCATGTAGATGAGTTGAAGTCCCAAACACCTGGAGGACCCAAGTTTGCACATACCTGATCTACACTGTAGAATGAATGCAGTTTGACACCACTTTCACCACCATGGCTCAATGCTTTGGAGTCATGGGAGATGTAATTTTTGTTTGGCACCAACATTATCTGACGGAGATGACTTGTAAATACCATATTTCTGTAGCACTGAGCGATTGCCATAAAATGCTTTCAAACTGCATTCATTCTACAGTGTAGATCAGTGGTTCTCAACCTGGGGGTCGGGACCCCAGAGGGGGTCGCCAGGGGATGTGAGAAGGGTCACCAAAGACCATCAGAAAACACAGTATTTTCTGTTCGTCATGGGGGTTTTGTGTAGGAAGTTTGGCCCAATTCGATTGTTGGTGGGGTTCAGAATGCTCTTTGATTGTAGGTGAACTATAAATCCCAGCAACTACAACTCCCAAATATCAAGGTCTATTTTCCCCAAACTCCACCAGTGTTCACATTGGGGCATATTGAGTATTTGTGCCAAGTGTGGTCCAGATCCATCATTGTTTGGGTCCACAGTGCTCTCTGGATATAGGTGAACTACAACTCCCAAACTCAAGGTCAATGCCCACCAAACCCTTCCAGTGTTTTCTGTTGGCCATGGGAGTTTTGTGTTCCAGGTTTGGTTCAATTTCATCATTGGTGGAGTTCAGATTGTAGGTGAATTATAAATCCCTACAACTCGAACTCCCAAATAACAAAATCAATCAATCCCCCCCTCCTCCCAATCCCACCACTATTCAAATTTGGGCATATCAGGTATTTCTGCCAAATTGGATCCAGTGAAAATACATCCTGCTTATCAGATAATTGCAGTACCATTCATAACAGGAGCAAAATTACAGTTATGAAGTAGTAAAATAATGTTATGGTTGGGGGTCACCACAACATGAGGAATTGTATTAAGGGGTCGCGGCATTAGGAAGGTTGAGAAACACTGGAGTAGATGCACTCGTTGTCTCCTTCATCATTTTCTGCCCTCAGATATATATAAATAATCCTTTTCTTGCTCTTTGCTTTCCTAGCCAGATCGTATTCCATTTCCTGATCATGTTCCTGCAAGATTGGGCTACACATCCTGGTGCTTTTGTGCCTGCTTTTCCCTTTTCCTCTTCCTCCTTGAGTTTGCATTGCAGCCACATTGGCTTTTCCCCCCTGAACGTTTCCTCTTTCTCTTCCCTGCCGCCACTCCTTTCTGCCTCTCCACATGGCCATGGGATGGATGCCTCTGCTACCTTCCTCCCTCATCCCTGCGTGAGGCGGTTCCCATGGCAACAGCCAATGGGAGGGGAGGGATGCTGCCAACCCAGAGCTGGCTCAGTGTGCATG